CCCTGCCGCCCCAGCCCTGGGCTCTCACCCCCCCCACCCGCACCCCCCTGCCGCCCCAGCCCTGGGTTCTCCCCCCCCCATACACACACACCCTGCCGCCCCAGCTCTGAGTTCCCCCCAACCCCCTCACCATTGCCCCCACACACACCTCCTGCCGCCCCAGCCCTGGGCTCCCCCCCCAGCCCTGCACCCTCCTTCCGCCGCAGCCCTGGGTCACTGGTAACTCGCTCCCAGGGCGAGTCATTCAGCAGGAATTTTGGATGTGCACAGAACACAGACAGGATTGGTTTCCATATGGTTACAGAACTGCAGTAAAGTGGAACAATTTTCAGCTTGTGTGATTGGAGGATATCTGGATGCATATTATAAGACTGTCCTACATAAATGAGGAAAAGTTGAGGTGCCTTTATTATTCTTTTGTTCCACTCTTTCTTTCTATGGGGAATTTGCCAATGCAATATTACTGTCTTCCTTTTAAACAAACACACAAACAAACAAAAAGCAATGGCTGTTGAAAATAGCAATTCCAGTCCTAATAACCACTGGGAAGCATTTCTTGCTCAATTTTATCCTACTTTTTCTACAGCAAGTTACAGTGGATCAGTATATTTGATTTGGGAGAAATGAAGTAACAGCTGCCCAAACTGAGCTTGAGCACTCCTGAATTTTGAGGTGTTCAAATCTGGAAGGCAGGTGCTGTGGGGGGGCTGTGGCGCCGCAGGGGAGCATGGCAGCATGTATGCAGCAGCGTGTCTGGCGCTGCGCGAAGCCAGACACGCTGGTCTGAGTGGCACGGTAAGGGAGCTGGGGGGTTGGAGAAGGGGTAGGAGGTTCCGGGGGGGGGCAGTTGGGGCAGGGGATGATCAGGGGACAGGGAGCAGGGGGGTTGGATGGATTGGGGTGTTGGAGGGAATGGATGGTGGCAGGGTGGGGCTACCCTCCCTCCCCATGGAGTCTCCTATTTTTTGAATGTTAAAATATGGTATCCCTACCCTTCACAGTGCAGGTCTCCATTCAAAGCAGGCTGCAGCATGAGGTCTCAGCTTCCTCACTCCCTCCCCCTCTTTCCTGTTGGTAGTGGCCAAGGGAATGCTGGGAAATGTAGTTCTTTCCCTGCTCCAGGGCTGGCTCTATAGGCAGGGAGCTAACCAAGGAACTACAGCTCCCAGGGCCCCCTGTTGGTTCTCAGCTCCCATGCTGGATCCCTGCCGCCCCTGCAAATGGGCTGCTCCAAGCACATGCTTGCTTTGCTGGTGCCTAGAGCTGCCCCTGGGTCTTGCTAGAAAGGTGCCTAGCAGTTTCCCTGGCTTGCCTAGAGGGGATTTCACGGACTGCTCTCCTTTGCCTAGGCTCTGTACCTCGAAAGCTGAGCCTCTCACCAGGAGCGCCAAGCGTGCTGGCAACAGACCGTGGAGGGAACGCACCAGTCGCTGAACCAACAGTCCCTGTCCAGTTGGGTCACTTCCACTCCTCTTCCTAAAAGGCTCGCTCCTTTTTCCTGCTCGGTTTGGATCTCGGGCAGGTAAAAGTCATTTGGGCTCTAGGGCCAGAGTTGGGTCTACGAAAGGCAGCTCACGTCCACCTAACTCTGTGTCTACATTGCAGGGTTGTTCCTGCCGATGTCAGTCGCACCCTACCCCGACCTAATGACTCCACCTCCACGAGAGGTGTACATACGAATGGCCCTACTGGGTCAGACCAAGGGTCCATCTAGCCCAGTGTCCTGTCTTCCGACAGCGGCCAGTGCCAGGTGCCCCAGCGGGAATGAACAGAACAGGGACTTATCCAGTGATCCATCCCCTGTCGCCCATTCCCAGCTTCTGGCAAACAGAGGCTAGGGACACCTAGCGCTTAGGTCAATGTAGTTAGGGCGACGTAGTTTCCCCAGCACCGGGCAGTCGGGCTCCCGGTGGGAGCTCCCCCATAATGCCCCTGTTCAGTCGGGAGCACTCCGGGTGAGGATACGCTCCACTGGCAGAGGGAGGGCAGGATGGACATGAAAAAACACAGTCATTACTGCGGTGGCTGCAAGTCGACCCTAATGTAGGACGACTTAATAGTGTAGCGTAGACAAGGCCTACGTGAACACAGCACAGTCCGGAAGGGTCCCATAGCAGAGGCACGTAGGAAAAGCAGGGGCCGCATTCTATACTTACTGATGCAGCCGCTCTTTTATTGTAGTCCCCAGGCAGCCGGAATACAGACTGAACGGCGGCGGAGCACGTAATAAACGCAGTCACGTACAGGACAGTCGCAGACGCGTTGAATATCACTAACTAGGGAAAGAAAAGGCTGTTTTATGACAAAGGGACCAATCTCTTTCCTTTTCTTCCTGTCACTTGTTTATCTGTCACTCTGATTTGCTCAGACCTGGCTGAAAACCAGGCCCCTTTCAGATGTCTCAAATGGGGCACCCAAAATGACTGGTTCCTTTTGAAAATGTAAGACACACACACACACACACAAAATATTAATTCATCTGGCTCCACCCCTAGCAGTACCCCCTGGTAGAGAGGAGTTTAGCAAAGATCTCTGGGTTGGACAAACCCATTCTCGTGCAGACAGGCAAGACCTGGTTTCCCCACCGCTCTCTCCTATGAATTTGCAAATGGTATCAGAAATGCCCAGCGCAAGAAGCACTGTGTTATAGCCCAGTTGGCTGCCTATGACTTAATTAACACCACTTAAAAGTGAGCACTGCCAACTGCTTCACTTCTGATGGCCATCCCAAAAACCTCCTGCACATGCTGCCATTCCTTTGAAAGGGTGGGGAAGAAGCATTCCGTTTTGGGTAGGCCCATAGAATAGGCATTAGATGTTCTCCTGATGATACAACTATCGGAAGTGTGCTGTTTTCTTTGAACAGTAGGTGTCAGGTTGGTTGTATGCACAACTCAGATTACTGCAAATGCATCCGGCACTTGTGCTCACCCTGCTGATTTGCAACAGCAAATAAAGCATGCACTACATCAGCAGTTCTCAACCAGGGGTCCGAGGCCCCCTGGGGGGCCAAGAGCAGGTTTCAGGGGGTCCGCCAAGCAGGGCCGGCATTACAGTCACCGGGGCCCAGGGCAGAAAGCCGAAGCCCTGCCACCCCGGGCGCCGCCACCTAGAGCTGAAGCCAAAGCCCGAGCAGCTTCATGGGGCTTCCTGTGGGGTGGGGCCCTGGGCAATTGCCCTGCTTGCTACCCCCTAATACAGGCCCTGGCTTTTATATGCAGAAAAACAGTTGTTGTGACACAGGTGGGAGTTTTTATAGCATGTTGTGGGGGCCTCAGAAAGAAAAAGGTTGAGAACCCCTGCACTAAATCATGCCGAAAGTGTTTGAAAAATCTGGTTGTAGGGTTAAAGTAATATTTATAATTGCGTCTGGACTTTTGCAGTGTGATCTGTGGAATCCCATAGACATATTGCAGCTTTGGGGGAGTTCTTAAAAACCCCATGACTCAGTGACACGGACAGAAGAAAACTAAACAGCTAGTGAAGAGAGATTTATGCATGAGGTTGGCGAACGTGACGAAGACACCGCATCACTGGTACTAACAGAACCACTCTGGAGTAAGTAGCGACTATGCAGGTAATTAACAGGACAGCATATCTTTCCCACTTCGCTTATGGAATGGGTGCACTAAAATGGGGGGTTTGTTAAAGAGACGGAATTGTACTGGACATAAAACCCCCTAGCATTGCCCAGGGAAGCCGCCTGGCGTTCTGCAGAGAGGAGCACTTGCTCCATGCCTGATATGGGCCAGTCCAATTCACTCCTGGGCTTGGAGCTAAATGGCTCTGCAGCCCTTTTTTTACTGTTGCGAGGACATGTTATTTTGCCTTTGTTAATTCTGGGGCCCAATCCTGCATTCCTTGCATCATCAACACTCCCAGGGCGTTTTCATTATGCCAAGAATGCAGACGCGAGCTGTTAGTGGGTTACTTCCTTTGTTTAAAAAGCCTGTCCAGACATATAAAAAGTGGAGTCAGGCCCCTCCTCTGTCAGGGCACCGTCTGTGCCTCCATGCTGGTCTCTACAGTGGTCTGGTTCCACTGGTATATTTGCCTTGATCATGAACAGTCCATCAACTCCCACAACTAAGAGGGTTGCAACACTGAAAAAGAGTCAGGTCCCCTGCTCTTGTCTAGATTCCAGAGGTGCTGGGGCATGGGGTGCTGGGGGGGGGGCTGCTGCACCCCCTGGCTTGAAGGGGTCTCCATCATATGCAGGGTTTACAGTTTGGGTCAATGACTCTCAGCACCCCCACTGTACAAATTGTTCCAGTACGCCTACTAGCTTCCTGACACGAAAGCTGGATGCAGTGTTGGTTGAAGGTTAATCCCTAATAACCCACTGCCTGTTTGGGCCAAAATTCAAAGAACTACAGTAACACTGGTGTAAACCCAGAGTCATCCCATTAAAACCAGCTGAGTTATTTAATGTTTATTGAAGCATCACCAATCACAATGTGCCCTTTACTTTCCACTGTAAAAGGCTTTTTAGAAGCATAGTGAAATGTGTCTATTCCCTGCAAAACTTTATCCTTTCCTAGGCCTGGTTTAAAACTAGAAAATTTGCAGTGGTGTAATTCAGTTGCTATAGTTTCACCAGTACAAACCATTAATAAAGATGCATTTCTGTGAGTTTAGCTTAAGTTAAACTGCTACACATGTGACTTAAACCTTTGTAAGTGCAGCTCCATTAGAGGTGGGATCGGTGTGACTCAATTGATTAACTTGTGCAAGTTTCCTAATATACACAAGCCCCTGTTTGGTAACTTTGTGCTGTATCCCCCTCAGTGGGATACAGGGATATAAAGCAGGTATGACTTCAGTGCAGTTGCACCTGATTTGTATGAATGGCATTACACAAGTGTGAAACTGGCCCGGGAGAGGACAGTGAAGCCCATTGTGTTTTGAAGGAAGCTGAATTTAGCGTTAATTTCCATGCAAGTTAGAGTGCACGGAGGCCAGGTTTATACTCAGAATTTAAGTCAACCCAGTTATGTCGCTCCAGGGTGTGAAAAATCCACATGGTGAGCGATGTAGTTAAGCTGACCCTCAGGGTAGGCAGCCATAGGTTGACAGAAGAAGTCTTCCATCAACCTAGCTACCACCTCTTGAGGAGCTGGATTATTAATTACACAGATGGGAGAACTCCTCCCATCTCTATAGTGAAGGGCTAGAGTGGCACTTTTTAAAAGCAATGTCTCCGTAATTGATGGGTCGAGTTAAAATCAAACAACATGACAAGATACAGGTTTGTTGGATGCAGATTCTGCTGGAATCAATCTTAGGGTACATCTAATCGTCAGCCCCATGAAACCATTTAACGTGGAATGATTTCCCCTGTGAAATACACCATTTATCTGCAGCTACAGGGGCTTACCACGACAGGCCAGGGGATCATGTAGAGCTTCATCTGAAGCTGTAGAAGATACATCACAAACAGAATGACTGTTACCAGCCAGAAAAAGATGGCTACAAACAGCACCCAGCCATATGCGGGAATGGGTTGGTAAAATGTGCTGGCAATGAGAGCCCACACCAGCAAGCCGAGCACCTGTGGAACAGAAAGGGAAAAGTGGTTAATAGGAAAGAAACAAATCTTTACAATTCTTCTGTCAGGGAGATTTGCCATTGATGTCAATGGGAGCAGGATCCAGCCCTCAGTTAATGAGCTCTGTCATTCATTGTTTGCAAGTGCTTCCTGCTTAAGTTTTGTAGATATATATCTGGAATGTCAAGCTTACCCTTTCCCTGGCTTTGCTGGAAAACTCTTTCGAGACCACAGATGTGGTTTATTTGATGGGATGGGGATGTCGACTCTTTAACAAAGAGATCTTTTCTCCCAACTGTTTGTTTATGCATTTGAGTTAAATGACATGTTAACAAAAAAAACAAACTAGACCAATGGCTTTCAGCAGTCTGAACGTAAATCCCTTCCCCTCTCGATTAATCAGGTTTAATTGCCTGGTAACTGTGATATCATAATCCTACAAGTTGTCCATAGAGTTTTTCGGGAAGGCCTCAATATCTAATGTAAAAATCAAGCATGAAAGAAAACCATTTGAGCCCTTATTCAAATATCACAATGAAGCTAAAATGGCACAAAACTCACAATTTATCCTCCTTTCCAGGTTACTGTTAACATTTCTTTCAGGTGGATGGAATCTGTGGTCAGTCCTGTGGCTCGTTTTAGAGAGGATGGACTCTCCAGTGACATGCACTGGGTTGATCTGACCCCAGGGAAGGCAGGTGGCACGATCATTGTGTGAAATCAAGTCCTGCAGTGGGCAGGGCATTTTCCCACGGTCTCTTCCCCACTTGGGTTTCTCATCACTACTTATAAACAGTGACAGTGATTACTTTAAACCTGCGGGGGTTGGCTGGGTTCTTTAATGAAAGGAGTTCCCTCCACCCCTGTAGGGCTGGCCTCCTTGCTTTTTTTCTGTCTATGACCTTGAGATTCCCTGGTGTGTGTTATTGATCAGTGTTACTCATCAGAATAATGACTAGTCATAACGGCTGATATTGACATAACACTTCATAGCCAGTGGTCTCAACCTACACTCACCAAGCTGGTCCCATGTAATCATGCCCCACCTGCTCTCATTTTCCCCTCTCAATCCCTCTACCCTTCCCCATCCTCTGTCCTGGCTCTGTTCCCCAGTCTCAACTTCACCCCGGCCTGGAACAGTCCCTCTCCCCTCAACAACCCTCTCTCTCCGCCTCCAAATTTCTCCTTAACACCAGCTTCTTCTCCATCTCCCATCCTGCTTTTGTCTCAGCATGAGGAATCTTCACCTCCTCCCTCTCCTTGACCTGCTGTCTTGTGCATGTGGCTTGTCTGACTTGGCTTGGCAGCTCCTTGGGGCAGTGGGTGTATCTTACAGGAACGCACCGTGTAAACACAGGGTGCATTGGCTCTGGGGAGGGGAAGGGTGAACCCAAGGCACTGCAGGAATCCCCTCTGAAGTGCCAGGAGGCAGGCAGGAGCTTGTCTGAGAGGCTTGCACAGTAAATGGTGTGGAGCTCGGTAAGAGGGAAAAAAGGCTCGGAAGATTATGAAAACAGGGGCTGTATAAGGAAAGGGCCCTGTGGTGGGGTGAGTGCCTCCCACTAGCCATGCAAGGGCTGGGTGGGCCCAATCAGCTAAATAGGCTGCAAACAGGGGAGCTTTAGACCAGAGGTAGCTGGTTGGAGAGAGGCTCACCTGTGCAGGAATAGGCTGGGCCTATAAAGCCAGGTAACAGGCCCCAGACAGGGCCGCTGAGAAAGGGCAGTGGCTCCCTGGGAAGAGGGAGGGTGTTTGGGGGCTGCAGGGAGCTAGTCTGCAGCTCCTCCCTGGGAGGAGGAGCTGGTGCACCCCAGAGAGAGAAGGGGAACCAGAGTGTAGGACGCAGCGCAGAGATGGGGCCGTGAGGGCAGAGAGAGGAGAGCCCAGAACCGCTGAGCTGAGGGTCCCTGGACTGGAACCTGGAGAAGAGGGTGGACCCGGTTTCCCCTACCAGCTACCGAGGGCATGGCCTAGACCGGAGGCAGCAAATGGGAAGACTGCCTAGGACGGCTGATGGACTGTACCCCGGAAGGGGGCAAACTGAGTGACCTGGCTGGAGGGCTAAGTCATGGAGTGAGAGAGGAGCTACAGACCAGAGGGGTGGCATGCAAACCGCGGCAGGGGGCGTCTACCTTGAGAGCTAATCCCCTGAGTGACCAGGAGGAGGCGCCAGACCAGCAGTGAGTGGAGCAGGCCCTCAGACAAATCACACTTTACATGGGCTTTCCCCCACCCTGCCTCCCCACAGTGAGAGAGAAGGCCAGGAGCATTCCCCTGGGGGCGGAGAGGGCTGAGACCTTACCTATGCCAGGCAGTAATTTACTGACTGAATCTGCATGGTTTATAAGCAAAGGGTGAACTGGCTTCAATGTGTCTATGGCCAGGGGCTACACCTGTCTAACTAGAGCTGCTTTTCAAGTCAATTTAGTTAAAACCGGTGCAACTTTTTCTGAGGCTGGCTCTGCTTGGGAATTGGCCTAAAATGAGGAAGGGACCGGGCGACCTCCGCTCAGCCTTTATTCCCAGAGCGATGTCTCTGCCTAGACGCTGCAGCGAAAGGCGCGTTAGAAATGCAGAAGAAGGGAAGGAATCGTGGGTCCTTGGCAGAAAACCTGGGGGTGGGGTGAGGGGCTGAGGGTGACGCTGGCTGAGAAAACACCCCTGTCTGTAGTTACGTCTTGGGAGAAACCGACTCTTTCCTTACCTAGGGATGCCGCAGCCCCATGGCAGACGCCATTGGTGCAGCATCGCTGTGTTCATACAGTCGGGCCCTGGGGTTTCCATCACACCATTGGGAACATTGTATTTGTCATTTTGTCTGTTCCTGTAGCCTTCGCTTATTGCAGCCTGGTTCCCTTCTAGATCTTTTCTCTCTTCATGGAGGCTGTTTTCCCTTTGCCAGGGCCCCGCCCCCAAGGTCCCTACAGCTCCGTTGCCGCCCTTTGGTTGGGGGGGAAGCTGGAGATGTACCAGAATCAGGTTACAGACACATTTGGAAGGGGGATGAAAAGATGAATCGGGCGGGGCCTTTGCAAACGCATCTCTCAACCCCAAAGGTGCAACCCCATGGGGAAGGTTGGGGAGAGGGGTCATGGGAGGGACCTGAGACAAAAATGCATCTGGTGCAGCTGGGCTGATGGAAAGATCAACCGGAGGGTAAAATGCTGGGGGGGCAGGGGGATGTTCTCTTAACCCCCAAATGCCTGGGGATTAATTACCATTAATAGTCACTCCAGGCCTCCGTGAAATATTAGGAATGAGCAGCTAAAACTTTGTGTCGCTGGGAGCTAAGCAATCGATTTGCCAGAAGTCCGAGGGCCTCCCCTCTCTTACTAATTTCAACAAGACACGGGTTTGGCCCAGTGTGCAGCTCAGATGACACCAGTTTAGCCCAAATAATGAACACCCGAGCGTCTACCTAATGGAAATCACTGCTTGGCTGAGTGTGTCAGCACTCGACACCCTGCAGGGGCCCGGAAGACACCCTGCAGGGGCCATGTAATTAGAGTTGCCAACTTTCTAATCGCACAAAACCGAACACCCTAGCCCGGCCCCTTCCCTGAGGCCCTGCCCCTTCGCTGAGGCCACACACCCTACTCCGGCCCCTCCCTGAGGCCCTGCCCCCCGCTCACTACATTCCCCCTCCCTCGGTGGCTCCCTCTCCCCCACCCACACTCACTTTCACTGGGCAGGGGCGGCGGGTTGGGGTGTGGAAGAGGGGTGAGGGCTCTAACTGGGAGTGTGGGCTCTGGGGTGGGGTCAGAAATGAGGGGTTCAGGGTACGGGAGGGTGCTCTGGGCTGGGGCAAGGGGGTGAGGGCTCTGGGGTGGGGCTGGGGATGAGAGGTTCAGGGTGTGGCAGGGGGCGCTGGGATAGGGGGTTGGGGTGTGAGAGGGGGTGAGGGCTCTGGTGTGGGGCTGGGGATGAGGGGGCTCAGGGTTGGGGCTTGGGGTGCAGGCTTACCTCTGGTGGCTCCCGGGTGCAGCGGGGGGGATAAGGCAGGCTTCCTGCCTGTCCTGACTCTGCGCTGTACCCTGGAAGTGGCCAGCAGCAGGTCCAGCAGGCAGCTCTGTGTGCTGCTCTCACCCACAGCCACCGCCCCTGCAGCTCCCATTGGCTGCAGTTCCCTGCCAATGGGAGTGTGGAGCCGGTGCTCAGGGCGGGGGCAGCGCACAGAGCCCTGTGGGGCCCTCCCCACCCCCTGCCTAGGAACTGGACCTGCTGGCCACTTCTAGAGCGCAGCACAGAGCCAGAACAGGTAGGAACTAGCCTGCCTTAGCTCTGCAGCACTGCTGACTGGACTTTTAATGGCCCAGTTGGCAGTGCTGACTGGAGCCACCAGGATCCCTTCCCAGTCGAAAACCAGACACCCGGTCACCCTACACGTAATAGACACTGCAGGCTGCACTCGACCCAGACCTGCCTTGATGAGTAACCACAGCAGGAATGAACAATACATACAGCAAAGCCCACGACAATAAAACAGCCTGTTGGAAGCCAGGGGTGTAACAGAGGGCGGGGCTGGAGAGTGTGCCCAGGATAGGGAGATAGTGTTGTCTAGTGGTTAGGGCATCAGACTAGGCCTCAGGAGACTAGAGTTCTTCTCCCATTTCTGCCACTGACTCAATGGGACCCTAACAAGTCAGTCACTTCACTTCTCTGTGCCTCAATTCCCCCCCCCCTATAAAATGGAGCTAGTAGGGCTTGGCCACGCTGAGATCGCTGGGGGCCGAGTGCTCAGAATTGTTTTGATTTCATTATAGCCACGGGGGGAGAATTCCAAAGGCCCTGCCTTCCCACCAACTGAGCTTTTCTATCTCGGGGAAGGCAGCAACTCTGCTCCCGCTGAGCTCAGTGACAGGACACAGGGCAGAAGCTGGTTCCCCCCGCTCAACTGGCTCAGTTTTATTTAGGGCTTTATACACTAAACTATACTACACCTTGCACCATTTTTGTTTCAATGACACTCTTGAGACCTCAGTCATGAAGCAATGAAAGGCAGG